AAAAAAAAAAAAAAAAAAAAAAAAAAAAAAAAAAAAAAAAAAAAACACGAATTATAGAATATTTTGACTTCAAAGGTCAGAAAGCAAGCAATATGAGCAACATGAAGCTATAAGATAATGCAATATGCGAATTATAGGAAATGGACCTATTAAAAACAATGAGCAGGATTTGTTTAAGAAACATCATTGAGATACGAGAAATCATATCAACATGAACAATGGCTGATTAAAGACATATAATATATTACCTCAGGCAGATGAGGATAAAGTCCACTAATGCAACCTTCAGCTATGGCACCAAGAGCCAATACAGCAGCTTCCCTTTCTTTCCAGGCTTCATCACTATTTGTTGACAAATGGGCCTAATACGCGTCTCGGAAAGGTTCATATATCAGAATAAAACATCTAACAAGGAAGAAATTAAAACTAGGAGGAATTCTTGGGCGCAATATATCAAACTGAAATAAGTCTATAGAACTTACAATTCCCTTAGACCAGGTTTTTTTTTTCTTTTTTTTCTGATGCATTTAAGCAAGAACAAGGCCGATCTTAATGAAGAACGTCATTTAATGAATATACAAATCATGCCATTGCTTCGGTAAATAAACAGAAATCTAAAAAAACTCATTCAAGGGATTAAACTGCTAGGTAAAAGCAGCTTTGGACAAGCACATCATAAAAGCAACAATACCTATGATAACAGTAGTGGGGAAGAAAATAAATAAAACGGCACATAACTGGAAGAACGGATAATACAAGATAAAGTTCACAGTGGATGTCCTGACTGACTGATGAAACAAAAGAAAATAGAAACGAAAACAGTGAAAGGTAAGCGAAGGAAAGAAGATGAAAGGAAATATTCCACAACAGAGGTTCGGCTTCTTTGGCTCGATTATTTGCCTACCTGAACAATAGGCATCAATATAGGAAGAATTTCATCCCCAAACACATTTGAGAGAATATCAAGAGCTGCAGCACTGCATTTGCGCAAGTTCCATATATTTACGATGTCATCGTCCTGAATTATGCAAAGATGTTTATATTACAGGAAAATAAAACATACCAGAAGACTTTATCTGTTGATCGAAACCAATAAGCCAACAATAAGAAAAATATTAACACAACGTACATCATCTTCTCCATTGTCTGATCCATGTAATCTTGACGAATGGAAACGGGGTTTTAGATCCTGCAGTGAAAAAAACCAGCAAAATAATAATAAAGATGACGCCGGTAAGTAAATAGCACGTAATTCATCAAGGACATCAAGGTGGTGAAACACTGTTATTCCCACTTATGCTCTCCAAAATCAACAATGAAGAAAAAAGATCATACCTGCTCTCGGTCTGGAAGAGATCCATCTTCCTGTAAAAACGAGTACAAGGAAGACACATCATGAACCATACTAATTGGCGATCATACAAAAAATTTAAGTATGACAGTTCACCTCGGCCTCAAGAAGCGCTTCATCGTCATCAGCATACACCATATTTGACAATAATGCCTACAGAAGTTGAAATGTGCACATAAAAAGCATTACAAATGTCTCAACAACAAGGTATCAAAAGAAAGAAAATATTTGTCTGAGCATGTGCCGTACTGGAATTAAACGTGGCAAGAACTCCCTTAAGTTCTCTGGAGGTAATTGAGCATCACAATATGCAGACCTGCCAAGCATAACTTAAAATGAAGCAGATTTAACAAGGAAAATAACCAACACAAGTATTCATTAGGTCACGGGGGGGATTTTAAAAAAGAGTTGTCATCCATTAGCGGTCTCAAAGACCAAGGACAATAAGGGTCATGATTTACAATGATAATAAGCAGAAGAAGCTTTATTTTGGGATAAATTATCTTCTCCATTTTCCATTTCGTAATTACATCTTATCTACCCTCATTTCACATAAGAGATTTCTCCTTGCAAGTCAGGTCTTTTATTTTTGTTTGTTTTCACTTTTGTCTTTTTGGTCCAGGTCAGAGTTTCGAAGCCTCGAAAGTCGGGTCGTGACAGATTGGTATCAAAGCCAATATCTGCTAAGGTAGACTTGGGCTGTATAGTAAGACAGACACAGAGGTGTATAGTTTACAAGATGCGATTACCAAAATTCACAGGCTTCAAGTGAAACTTCCTCGTCAGCATCCTTATTGACTTGCAACATGTATTCGATCACATTCCGCAGGTGTGGCTGCAAAATCACATGATAAACAGTTTTTTCAAGAAATGCAGCAAAAAAGATATTAATGTAGTTTAAAGAACGACAAAATTAGATGTCTGGAAAAAGAAGAAACTACACAGAAGCCGACTCATTTTTAGCGTCCGAGGCACAAAAGGCAGGAAATGATTAAAATTTGGTACGTAATCCAAACAAGGAGCAAATATGAAACCAACCTCCAAGAAAGTTGGGCGTACTTCAATTAGCTGTACAAATGCTTGACAAACCTGCATGACATAGATGCAAAGAAAAGGGAGAATGAAAATTACTCGCCAAATCACGAATCAACCCAGAACCTTAAGCTGAAGTGTTCAGTCAATTTAATTATATCAATACTTTGACACTTTCCCTTGCTTGTGGACTAGAAAAAATTGTACAAAACCCAACACATGAAGAACAATATTTATTGGGTTCGAAACGACACTAACAGGGTTAGAAGAACACATGATCATCTGCTCTAACACCATGTTCAACCGTCAATCAACCCAAAAGCTTAAGTTCATTATTACCGTAAATTCAATTGTATCAATACTTTAAATTAATACTCGGAGCCCACCATTACCTTTTTCCAATTATAAACAAAGCCCACTAGATGGACATTAGACGAGTAAATTCCAATTATAAACCTAAAGAGACATCAAAAACACAAAAGTAACACCGAATTTTTTCGGGAGCTTAAGAACCAACAATGTCAACCTAACAATCTAAAAAAATAAAGTTATGCAAAAAAGAAAACCGATCCAAATAGACAACAGAAAACTTCTCCAATTGGATAAGAGAGTTAAAGCTGTATTTTTTAAATTTACAAGAGATATATTTTGCATTAAAGATCACATTGAGGAGAATGTATCAATCTCCTTGTATCAAATTTCTCTCGAGGAAAAGGCATAATAATACATAGTCTACACGCACTTAGAATAAAACACTAACCAGCTTTCGCACTTCCGAGGTAGGGTCATTAGCAAGAACAAATAAACCTTGAAGATATTGGTCCATGGATATATATAGCGCCTGCAATCATATATATTGTAACAACAACTATCAACATAAAGACCAGAACAAGATTCCAAATAAGCAAAATGAGAGAGTTTATCACACACTCGATACTTACCGTGGGCATCAGCATAATGTATTGATTCACAGAACTCAACGAAAGTTTTCTCAATGTAGCATGTGGCGACTGAAAAAACTGCTCAAAGAAAACCCAACCACAAGAGTCGGGAAACAGAGTTTTAACAGGTAAAAATGAAAAAATGAACCGAAAGAACTTGATGGCTCTAGGTAGATAATGCTACAATGCCGATCGAGTAGTGGTAACTATAAGTAGAAAAATAGATACGAAACAAGACGATACAAGCTAACCATACCTGAAATAATCTAGGAAGAAATATGTTGATTGGGCGTTCAGACAATCCGGGTACATCTGAATCAAGCACTTGAGGTATATCTTCACAAATCTAAGCCAAAAATTGTAAAGAACATATACATAGAAATGTCAAAGCTTGTTAACACACACCTACGTTTCAAAACGCTACAAAATAAATTCAATATACAGCTATATTGCAGATCTTCATTAAGAGAGGTTGCATAAGAAACTTAAAAATTGAAGGCCTAGCATACCTGATTCTAGTATGAACCAAAATATCAAAATTTTAAGTTTTCCAGAACCAAATTATTCAATTAACAAACAAAACAACCCTCCCTCAAGGGGCAGTCTAATCTGAGCATTGAACTTCACCAAACTTGTATAGATATAGAATGAACAATTATATGACCAGAATTTTAGTCCTTGCATTTAAACCTCTTAAAAACATACAAGGTAAGATTGTAGGATAGAAAGTAAGACCTTGGACAAAGCATCCATGGCACCTTCCATGTGATTCTGGTCTTTACTGTCTAAGCATCTTACAAGTGCTTCCAACAACTCAGGCCACCCCAATATTCCGCCTAGTTGAACAACGACACTGATGATCGTCCCAACCGTAGACCTGATATGTCTGTCCGCAGCTCCCATACATGGCAACAGTTCAGCTTTAATATATTGCTGAAACGCAGGAGTCATCGACTTGTATGCAGTTCTAAGGTTGTTTTTCAGATACAAGCCAGCAGCTTGTCGAACCTCAACTGATTTACCCTGCAGAAAGTTCCAATATATCAACTCAATTTCTTAATTCCAAAGCTAGAATATTGCAAATACATGACAGGCTAAATCTTAATACAACCATGATTCAGAAAAGCCTGTGATCAAACATTGATTGAACCCACCACTTAGCTTCCACTTTTTCAGTTTTAGTGTGTGGGTGTGTCCGTGTGTAACAGAGCACAGATACCAAACTAATTAAAAATGCTACTCGCCATTAACTGAAGTCAAGAGCAAAGCTTAGCCGATTGGTTGCAACAAATTAGATTAATAATCCACCAAGAACCCACAAATTAATCCCAACTCTACAATCTCAGTCAAACCCAGAAGTCTCGAGAAGCACACGGTCCAATCCAACCAATCCCATGAATACCCAATAAGCGAATTGCAAGAACATTTAAACAAACGCGCAAAAAGAGAAGTGGAAGAACCTCAGCGCGCGCAAGAATAAAAGCGAGGTAGTTATTGAAGTCAGGGAACTGGGAGTATTGCTGAAGCTGCTGCCAAATCTGGGACTTATCAGAATTTGAGGAAGGAGAAATCTGCTGCTCGAGTAAGCCGCAGATCTCGTTGAACCCATTCTCCTGGGGATGCCAAGATGCACTCGCCGCCATATCAACCGATTGGAACCAAATAAGAAACCCAATAAATAAGCAAAACTGGAAATCAAATGAAAAGTGTAGACAGTAAAGTAAAGGGTTCTAAGGGACGTAGCCGAAATTTGGTTGAATAGAAAAATTAAGAACAAGGATAAAAGAATTTTTGGAAGCGGCCGGTGATGGAAGAAAGAGATGGACTTATATATGTGGGTCGGGTTAAGATATCAGGCGTGAGCGACAGTATCGTCAAAATGATTGGAGCCGACGAAAATTCGACAATTCCGCTGTCTTTTTAACTTTAGCACAATGGAGCTTTTCAACATTTTCTTTGGCAAATTGAAGAACATGAACATCACTTTGTATTGTTCTAGTAATGTTTTTCTCGTGATTTTAAAAAAGTTTCGATTTTTTTTCGGTGTCTAATCTTAAATTTACTCTAGTGTTATTCTTGTGAGTTACTAGACCTCACAAATGGTTCGATGAGCTTGGATAGTCGGATAGCTTGTGTGGGTTTTAGAATGTATGTGTTAGGGAGAGATTTTCATACTCTTATCCTAATCGACCTCTTGACGGCCCAACGTTCTTGCTGATACACTGCCCCCAACTCTAATACCATTTGTAATACCCCATCCCACTAGTAGCTGATATTGTTCGCTTAACTCATTACGTATTGTCGTCAACCTTATGCTTTTAAAACGTGGATGTTAGGAAGAGGTTTTCATGCACTTATAAGGAATGTTCGTTCTCATCTCTAATCAATGTGGGATTTCATAGCTTTTTTTTTTTAGTTTGATATATATTAACTATATTGTGATTGTACCAAGTTATCGTGGTAGTCGCAAGCCCACCCAAGTCACCTTCTTTTATTGGATCTTCTTGAGCGTTGATTGACTCGTGACAAATATATTAAAACTAGATGTTATAATTCATAAATATAAGTTACACCGATGATTACTCAACTAGTTGTGAAATGTATAACTTTTGACGGTCGTTTTTACCCAAAATAATTACCGTTTATAAACAATACAATAATGAATATGATTAACTTTTTTTTTTAATTATAATAAATTATTAAACTTTTAATTTTATATTAAAAAACTTATTGTAATTTGAATTTTTAATTTTATATTAAAAAACTTTCTAAGTCTAATAAGATTTTTACATGTTTTAATTTTTTTAAAAAAAATTATATATAAAAATAATAATTGGAAGTTTTATATATTTAAAAATATGTAATTTCTTTTGCAAAAAAGAAAATATAGTTTTTTAAGTTAATAACTTTTTATTATAAAAAAAAACAAACCCTAAACCTCTCCTATATCCTCCCGAGAAAATAATATATATTAATTTTCTTTTCATTTTGTATATTTTATCAAAATAAAATAAAATAAAAATAAAATTGTATAAATTATATAATTTTTTCCCATAATCATTTGCATTAAAAGTCAATTCTTTAATGTCCGTGTGATGATCATTATAGATAGCTAATTATGGGATTTTCTTCACTCGAGCATTATCTTTTGATTTTCGTAAAATATTATACAATAAAATTACAATTTTATTGTTTTATTTTAATATATATATATATATATATATATTTATATTAATATTTGGTTTTAAAATAATCTGTCCTTAATTTTATTAAACTAACAATTTAATCATTAAAATTTATTTTTAAACTCACAATAATTTATTCAAATTATAATGAACATTCATTTTGATGAGATTTCTTTTTATCCAAGTGATTAAATTGTTATGATCTTAAAATTTAATTGTTACAATTTAATCTTAAAGTGGCATATACATTAAACTCCCGAGATTAATCTGCTTATTAATTGTTTGATTTTTAATTTTTAATTTTTTAAAAATTAAGCTTATAATTTATATTATATGTTTTATTATCTCCTGCCGTATTTAAAAAAATTAAATGACTTTTAGATTTTGAAAAATAATTTTTCTTTTTTTAAACTCGAAAAAATTTTCAAATAAGATTTAATTATTAGAACGTTGTAAATACAAGAACTAAGTCATTCATTATCAAATCTAAGACATATATTAATAAGAAAATTTGTTTCATTATTTCACGATTATTAGAGATCATGCATATGTACAAAGTCCCTCATACAAAACATCAGTTTAATAACATGATACAACATAGAATTATTTTCGAAAGAAAGGAAGTAGGTGTGTCATGACTAGAGATAAAATTTTCAGACAAATTTGAGGCACAAAATTGGGTTTTACAAATCTAAATTAACATCCAATGATAGGTTTAAATTTCGAGATTATGAACTAAACTTGAATTAAAAATCTCTAAGCATGGCAAAAGTAGAAAGCAAAAGAGGCTTTAAGAAACAAGTTCCACCACGCCCTACGCAGAGCTGCTCTAAAAATGGGTTCGGTGTGTAAGCAGTTGAGGAAAGTGTAACAACCTAAGTCTATCGTTAGTTAACAAATATTATCCTCTTTGGATTTTCCCTTTCGAGTTTTCACTCAAGGTTTTAAAATGCATTTGATAGGGAGAAGTTTCCACACACTTATAAAAATGTTTTGTTTCCCTTTCCAACTAACGTGGGCCCGTGTCCACCCCCTTCAAAGTTCAGTCTCTTTGCTGGCACATTGTCCGATGTCTTACTCTATACTATTTGTGACAGCCGAAGCCCACTACTAACAGATATTTTATTTATTGAGTTTTTCTTTCCGACTTTCCTTCAAGATTTTAAAATGGATATGTTAGTGAGATGTTTAGTTCTCCTCCCCATCTAAGTAAGAAAAAAGAAATGGGAGACTTTGTTTGGATACTAACCTCTGGACTGCCGCCGTCCTTACAACATTGATTCACCCTTCTTTCGGTGGATTAGTGAGTAACAACCAAGCATCCATAGAGGGTGGCAGTGGCACAACTCGTTTTAGACAAAATAAGTGGGACTGCCAAACAGAGCCTTAACTTTTTCTCTTACACAAGCCTGCCATTAAAGCTGTAGATGGTTTGGGAGTTGCATGATGACTGTTAGTTGGGTTGGGAGTGACCTGCAGCTTGAAAAGGCTTCATTTATCATACCTGTAAGGGAAAATCAAAGGAGAGAGAGAGAAGGATAAGGAAGAGAGGGGAAGCACAAGGCAGTGATGGCAGTAATACATTTGATGTGATGTAAGTAGGAATAGGAGACTGTAAATCTGTACCTTTTTTTCCCCTTTTTTCTTTTATTGTCTGTGAGGAAGGAGAGCTAAGCTTTCATAGCTCTGAACATCCAAGTGTAATTTCCTGCAGATTTTCTATCCTCTCTCTTGCCTTTTTCCCTGTAGACAATCACTTTATTGAATTGTAATAAGTGATGTTATGATGTGATCTTTCTTGTTCAATTGGTATACTTTCAAACACTTTTCTTTAAAAAGCTACAAAAGAAACCAACAAAATTTTGTACAAGTTTGCAGATCAAAACAAGATACCAGAGAAAATGAGAATCAAAACGATATGAATATTGGTATGTATCAATTTTAAAGGGAGCCAGTAGAGTACTCAGAGCTGTGAATGAACTATCACAATCAATCAAAGTACATAAAACTTAAGCAGATGATAATGATGAAAAAAGCAATTAGGTCCACAAGGGAAGGGTGTTTTAGCACAAATCATGCTAGTCAGCTTAAAAATCTCATAAGCACCAAAATCTTAGGCAGAACGACTTTCTCAGACCCAGAGGAGTACTTTAATCATGTCAATCTTGCTATATCTGAGGTTGATTAATGAGAATAACTCAGTTTTTTGGGTTCTTCACAGCCTGTTTGCCTTATCAGTGAACTCAGAGCACAAAATCCAGAAGTTTTTAGCTGCAACCAAAGCAACAAAACAGAACTTGATTGCGTTTTGTAATGGTGAGGGGTTCCAAATATGATCCCAGTACTGAAAGAAAACAAACATAGTGCTCGATGACACACGTACATATGGCAATGGAGGTCCGTAAGAATGCTTCCAGAAATTATAGACAAGTACATACAGAAGAATCACAGTTTCCCATGAACTTCAAGATTTCGAAAGTGAACTAAATTTTTTCTCAGTTCGTGAGCATCGTCAAATCTCTACTTTGAGTTTTCCGGCCCATCAATGGACCACTTACAATTCATCCTGTCCGAACTCTGAGAATCTCGCTCTCTACGGACTTCCAATACACATGCGATTGAAGTTCGAGGCCTACTCTCCTTCCTCGAACTCAAAATGATTGAGATCTATAAGAACCTACGCTACATCTATATCCTATTCTAGCAGCAAATTAGCTTCCGTGAGGTAAATTAGAACTGATATTAGTAGTTGCTATGGCCGCGTCTTGAATGAAATTCAATAATGCCGATCTAAAAGCGAATTTTCATGGCATATCGGCCATATAGATAGAAGTAATCAAAGAAGTGAAGCGATCACTAGTTATCCAATACGCTAAACATAAAGAAAGCCCTAGAAGATGCAAACCAGAGTCTCAGGAGATCGGCATGTCGGCACCAACGAGCATACAGCTAGGCGACTCCCGCGGCGGTAGCATCGAACAGAGGGTAACTATTGCCGGAAGGAATACTATTACATCGCACTTGCAACAACAACCGCCGGTCGCCACCAGCGGGCCCGGTAGATAATCCAACGTCGCAAATCGGAAGTGTTTCGAAAATATTTATTATTCAGAAAAAAACAATTGGCAAGTTTTAGTTTCAAGCTGTGAATTGAATTAAAGTAAATTATCTTCTTAATCTTCTACGTGTCAATTTCATTTAAGTCTCTTCGTTTTGGCCCATTACGTATTGCCAACGACATGTTTGTTAGGAAGAAATTTTCACACCATTATAAAAAATGTTTTTTTTCATTCTCCAATCTATGTGAGATTTTTCACAATTATTTATATATCAACATTAGCCTTACAGTTTTAAAATATATTTGCTAGGGATTTCGTTCCTTCTCCAACTGATGTGAAATCTCATGAGCTAACTGGCGTGTAATCTCACAATCCACCATCCTTGAGATTCCCCTCTCCAACTGATGTGGAATCTCAAAATCCACCACCCTTGGAGCCCAATATCCTCACTGTACACCCTTATAAGGAATGTTTCGTTACTTTCTCCAATCGATATGAGATCTCACGACATTAACGTTTTTAAAGTTTTGAAATGTTCTATGATACCCGCCATTTTAAATTATTATAACTAGTCTATACATATGTCAAACTCCACATGCTATTACATCCTCCGACGTTTCATTTTGTGCACTTATTCTCCAAACTATAAGAATTATTAAGGTTAAATTTTATTGTTTCTCTATTGGATCATTAGAGGAAGAAACTGTCCAATGGGAGTTGGGATCTAATCTCACCAATCCTTCTGTTGAGACCACGAAGAGCCTCCACGTGAGGCTCATCCTCCTCTACTGGTGCAATTTTCGCAAAGCTTCCTTCTTCAACAAAATCCACTACTCTATTTGCAGCCTCAAGACCAGTCACATATGCTTTCTCCTGTCCAACAAGAAGTCATTCAAGTCCTCAACAAATGCAACCACTTAAGTCTAAGTCCGCCGCTAACAAATATTATTCGTTTTGACCTGTTACGTATCGTCGTAAGTTTTGCAGGTTTCCACACCCTTATAAGAAATGTTTTGTTCCCCTCTCCAACCGATGCGGGATCTCACAATCCGCCTCCCTTGAGGGTCCAACGTCCTTGCTGGCACACCGCCCGGTGTCTGGCTATGATACTATTTGTAATAGCTCAAGCCCACCGCTAACAAATATTAACCACTTTGGCCCGTTACGTATCGCCATTAGCCTCTTAGTTTTAAAACACGTCTGCTGGAGAGAGGTTTCCACACCCCCTTATAAGAAATGTTTTGTTTCCCTCTCCAACTGATGTGAGATCTTACAATCAACCTCCCCTTGAGGGCCTAATGTCCTCACTGGCACACCGTTAGGTGCCTCGCTCTGATACGATTTGTAACAGTCCAAGCCAACCGCTAACTGATATTGTTCGCTTTGGCTCATTACATATCATCGCCAGCCTGATAGTTTTAAAACATGCCTGCTAGGGAGAAGTTTCCACACCCCTATCAAGAATGCTTCATTCCCACCGACGTGGGATCTCACAACAAAATAATCATATCATATATCAGCAAATGAAAGGCTTGTAGATATCCGACCTGTGACCACGAACCGTGACGGTTTACAATCCAGTCTCCAGCCATGAATACATTTGTGAACGATGTGAACCCGTACATCCGGTACTTGTATGAACCTTTTCGAGAATCAGACAGCCACAAATGAAACAAAAAACTGCAAACAGAGGGGCAGAAGAATTTGAACCAAATGTAAGTTCTAATCTTACATACCAGGAAAGAAGTGAGTCAATGTTGCTGGAAACTTTCCGATTTCCTTCTTCACTACGATGGCATTCTCGAAATCCTTAACGCACGTTGAGAGGTAAGATTTCACCTTTTCGACTATAACTTCTTCGTTCAGCAGCATCAGCTCGTTGGCATGATACTGCTCATGAAAAAAATGACAATTAAAAAGGAAATCTTATAAACCAGTGGAAGGAGAGGATGTTCTTATACTCACAAAGTCAGCTTGCAAGACTGTAACTGATTCATCTTTGTGTTCGTCTTGAATGGCATTTAAGTTGAAGAAACTCCACCCAAATGAATTATCCAACGCCGAGCAAGAATTACTCGAATTTGGAATATTAACCTGTTTAACATTGTAGTAAGAGGTCCATCACGTCGACTCCAACAGTAAGAGTGTAAAGATACGTTCTTATACTTTCGTCATTTGATCGACGAAATTGGTTTCATATCATTTTACTTACTTTTCTGTCAAACCAAAGCTTAACAGTCAGCATATCAACTGTTCTTAAGTTCAAAACCTTGAGGAACTCCTCTTTTGTTTGTAATGCTGCCCTAAACAGAACAAAGAACAAGGAAAACCAAACTAGTTATAAACACATACCAAAAGCTGGTAACAATGATGAATACGCAGCAGCTTAAAAGGAGACAAGACCATACGAATTACGAACGAGTTCTTGAAGTATAGAAATTCCGACAGCGAAAACAACTGCATCGGCCTCGTATCTTTTTCCGCCACAAAAAACGTCCGAGAGACGATTTGTATCATCATCTACAATTACATCTGTGATTTTGCTCCTCCTAACAAATTTACATCCCTTGCTCTCCAGCAAGTCAATCCATGGCTGGAAAATTCTCTCTTTAACCGTTCCTCGACACCAGACTAGATTAAAATCTTTCTGCGTGTATTCACGAGTTTAGAGTACAAACGATCGACATAATTAGCAACAGAAGAAGTAGGCGTGTTGGTAATAGGAATTTGATTCTCCAAACCTGGTGAGCAAGGATAGTATAGTATAAGTTTCCCAAGGTTGCTGCAGCACTGCATTGCTCGGCTGGAGCAAATAGTCCTACTTGAAGCAATGGATTGAGTATGCTACTATAGAGCCTTCCTGAACAGCCGAACTGCTTGAATAGCTCCCGGGCGGTAACTATCCGTGAGAAACAGCAATTGATCAGACGCTTCAATTCATGTTAGTTCAATATCAAGAGTCTACACAGGTGACAAAGATATTACTTGAGTCGTATTTTCTCCACACTGTATCCGTGTTGTCAAAGTCAACCACTGAAACAAAACACAGCAAAACCCGCTATAAGATACATGTTTTTTGCTTTGACCTCCAATGATAGGAACATAGAATGCATTAGAAGTTAGTGTGCTGTACTTGGTACGCATTTGGACATTAAAAGGATTGTAATCACCATGAACAAGATCCATGCTGAACTTATTAAATTAGAAAAAAATCCAACATTATATGTTCATTTTTACACCAGAGAGCATACTAGAAACTAGCGGATGGAAAGAGTTGTGAGATCCCAGTTGGAGAGCGAAACGAAGCACTCCTTATAAGGGTGTGGAAACCTGTCCCTAGTAGACGCGTTTCAAAACTGTGAGGTTGACAGCGATACATATTGGACCAAAAACGACAATATCTGCTAGCAGTGGGCTTGGGCTGTTACAAATGGTATCAAAGCCAAACACCGGGCGGTGTGCCAGCGAGGATGCTGGGCCCCCAAGAGAGTGGATTGTGAGATCCCACATCGGTTGGAGAGGGGAAGTATTCCTTATAAGGGTGTGGAAACCTATCCCTAGTAGATGCATTTAAAACAGTGAGGCTGACGACGATATGTAACAAGCCAAAGTGAACAATATCTGCTACATATGGGCTTCAACTGTTACAAAAGATTGTGAGATCCCACATCGGTTGGAGAGAGGAAGCATTCCTTATAAAGGTGTATAAATCTCGCCCTAGTAGACGCGTTTTAAAACCGTAAGGCTAACGACGATTTGTAACGATCCAAAGCAAACAATATGTGCTAGTGGTAGGCTTGAACTATTACAAATATTATCAGAGTCAGACACTAGGCGGTGTGCCCGCGAGAATAATGGGCCCCCAAGAGAGGTGGATTGTTAGATCTCACATTGGTTGGAGAGGGGAACGAAGCATTCCTTATAAGGGTGTGGAAACTTCTCCCTAGCAGATGCGTTTTAAAACCAGACTGATGGTGTTACATAACGAGCCATAAGGGACAAAATCTACTAGCGGTGGACTTCGGCGTTCTAATTCCATTTCTATATGTCTTTTTTGGGTTTAACAACACGAAAAGTGGGAAATCAAACCCTTTCGTCAAAACAATATACCTCACCAATTGAACTATGCTCCATTTGGAAATTTCATCTTCAATGTTAGATTTTTCGTTACAATGTGACATATAGATATCCATATCGAATGACCTGTGAGAGAAATGTACCTGCAGCCATCAAAGGAAGTGACGATAAGCGATCCAACAACGGGAGTTGGAGAAACTGTGTCCAAAACGACCGAAAGAGATTTCCATCAGGCCATTTAAACTATACAACAGTTTGAAGACATGAAAAATTGAAGCCATCCATACTTCTGTATAATATAAGGTTCCGAGAGGAGTTGGCAGTTGAGGCAGATCTTGGAATATTGGAAATTTTACCTACACAAGAACTGCATCACCGTCCCGACACAATTCAAAGTAGCAAAACTCGAAACTAATTAATTATCGGATCGACTAACACATAGATGTGCATGGACTGAGAAGAAACTTGGGACTATTGGAAATTAATCTTATTAATCAGAGAATCTTAGTATTTTATTAATGATTAAAAAAGCTATTATCTACCTCCAATCCATCAGCTGAATAATGAACAGGTGCTGTCCAGTTTGTGAAAGGAGTGATACCAAGCTCATCAACGAGACCAAATATATTCTTGTAGGGACGCCAGTAACCTACAACAAGAAGAAACATGACCATGACCACCAGAGCTAAATATGTGTGAGATCCCACATTGATTGGAGAAAAGAATGAATGCCAGCGAGGATGCTGGGCCTCGAAGGGGATGGACTGTGAGATCCCACATTAGTTGTAAAGGGGAATGAAACATTATTTATAAGCGTGTGGAAATCTCTCCCTAGCGTTTTAAAAACCTTGAGGGGAAGCCCGAAAGGGAAAGACCAAAGAGGACAATATCTACTTGCAGTGGACTTGAGTTGTTACAAATGGTATCAAAGCCAGACACCGAGCGGTATATGCCAGCGAGGACAATATTTGTTAGTGGTTGGCTTGAGCTCTTACAAATGGTATTAGACACCGAAGGGGGTTGGATTGTGAGATCCCATCTCGATTGGAGAGGGGAACGAAACATTCTTTATAAGGGTGTGAAAAGCTCTCCCTAGAAGATGCGTTTCAAAAACCTTGACAGGAAGCCCGAAATGAAACGCTCAAAGAGGACGATATCTAGTAGCGGTTGGCTTGGGCTCTTACAACATAAGTCAAAGAAGCATATATATCTATAAGAGCAACAAATTCAGTGCTTCTGTGGTAACTTTAACATTCTCATTTCTTGTGAAAAACAAACCAGAGTCGAGAACGTTACTAAAGCGATCCTAAACAAACACATTTGGTAATTTACCACGAATCCCATGATTATCGGCACCACCATAATCATTGCCGGGTTCAAGAACAGTGATATCAAATCCCTGAAATGGAAATTCAATTGAACACATAAACTTTAACCAAATCATCAATTCACCATTCAATTGAACACATAAATAGCATCAAAACAGTAGCTAGTATGGATTGATAAACTAATTTAAGATTCTTCTTCTCCCTTTCCTTCAAATCATATAGGTAATATAACAAATAGAACCTGATTGCAGAGGTGATTAGCAGCGGCAAGGCCAGCCCAGCCGGAGCCGACGACGACGACCTTTTTCTTTTTTCGATTTTCTCCTCCATTAACACAGAGACGGTGCCTAGAACGAGCTCTGCTGTAAAATCCACTTCGCAATCTGTCCGAGAAGAAGGGTTTGCAGGAGATGGTTCCCATTCCCAACGGAGACCCAATCAGGATCATCTTTGTGCGATCGAGTTCGTACTTCCGGCTGGTGCTGTAAATTCCAGTGTTCTTATCCCCAGATTTATCGGACTTGAACGCTGCCTACTTCTTCTTCCGCGGGAGAGAAAAAAATCTTGCGATTGGCTATGGCTACCAGCTCGACACATAGCTCTGATTGTCGCTTGTAAAACAGACCTAGTAATCGAGTGGAAGAGATGAAATGCTGTCGATTTATCGATTAATTTCTCAATTATCTCAATGAATAATTACAATTTTCCGATGTATATATCAAAATTAAGCCTTATATATCATTTTTTTATTATTATTTTTTTTACCTATTTATCAATTACCAAATAAATATTTTTTAATCGTAAAGTAGATATTGAAATTATATTAAAATTTATAACTATCTATTAAAAAAATTGAAATTAATATTTTACAAAAATATATAGAAAGGAATTGAGGAAAAATATGTTCGAGAAATCTAATCCGTGCAAATTCCCAAGGGAATACTCGTCTCGATACTTGCATAAATAGAGGATTTTCGTAGAATGATGATTGAAATAAGAGGTAGGGATAAAGACCCGTCCTTGCCTTGTGGACATTTATAGCTCACCACTCCTTGCCTTTGTTTGAAAGAAGAATTGTCGAACTAAACGTTTGTTGGCGTTTGGCCTCGACAGAGATACTAAACCTTGGAGATCACTACCTTCATTGTCAGAAATCCTACTCTCGTTGTAATCCAAATATACGCGTTCGTCAGAAACCCTATTAAGTATATCTTAATAGAATACTCTGTGAAATGGTGAATAATTTATTTGACGGGAAGATTTGAGGGTTATAAAATCTTAACGGTTATAAAAAAAAAAGTCAATGCCTATGTGTCATCGGCTCATTCTTCAAAACCACTGTCGGGAAGAAAGTTTCGAGTCATAAAAAAATGGAGAGTCCTTGCCCGTTTGAGTCGGTTGTTTCAAGCCAAAAGAGCGTACTGGCAGTTTGAGTTCACGAGGGGAAGGAGCAAAGCAATACGAGCTCTTTGTCCCATGCATCTAACCTGCTCGCATGGTTCGCCCGGGAGTGAGAGGGCTAAGGGAAGAGAGTTGGTTGCCCTAGTACCATTGAATATATATATATATATATATATATATATATTTAAAAAATAAATTATAAGTTAATTACAAATTAATTTAGTGGGTAATATGTCTATTCAGGATAGCTTAGGCTTGAATTGGTTTAGCGGATCCAGACCGTACATCGCGCAGGCCGAGGATCTTGAAAGATCAATGTCCGAGATGAAACAATAAAATGAGCTCACCAGAGCTATTCTAATAACGGCTTACTGAAATCTTCCTCCATTCTGGAGTTTCAGCGGTTAAATTTGCAAGCACGCTACTACAGCAACAACGAAGGCCAGCCTCACGCTTCTACAGACAATCAGTTCGACAATGGCAGCCACCCTCTCCGTCCGGCCCAACCGCCCTGCCGGTTCACCGTTTCCCTGGCCGCCTTTCCGACGATCCAGTTCAACATTTCTCAGTAGAACCGCTTCCTGGAGTGGCGGGGCCGCTGTTGCCCCGCCTCCACGCCGCGCATTTACAAGGACGCTGCTGCTGCCGGTTCAAGCAACCTCGCGTCCAGACGACTCAGCGCCGTCTAAGATGTCTCTTGAGCACGCACTTAAGCTTCTTGGAGTCTCTGAAGGAGCCTCCTTCGATGAAATACTCCGCGCCAAGAATTCTATTCTTGCTACTTGCAGTGACGACAAGGCGATTGCTCAGGTGATTTATTGATCATATTTTGAGTGCCGATTTTTTCTTAATTTTGTAAATCCAGTATCTGAGGTCATGTGTTTGATGTCAATTTGGTCGTATTGTAGCTCAATTTTGATATTTTCCTTATCGTTTCTTAATTCGACAAGTGGAATCTTGTAGCGAGTATCAGTAGGTTGCATAATAAGTTCTCTTGGAGTTTGAGTTAATGTTAATTAGACGTTTATAATTCGTTTTCACTCTGTTGTTAGAAAAGGCTCATAGAATTTTATCATAAAAAAGGTTCATAGAACATTCTTCGCATGATCTACCCACTTTCCAACTTTTTCACCATTTTACATATTCTTACTTGTAGAAGAGATTTAGAATTCCAATCTGCAACACCCATCGCCAAATATCTACCATATCCATTCTCTGCACACTGCAAGCGTTTCATAAATTTGAAACATTGCTTTCAATTATTTGTTACATATATAGCCTTTTTTCCGTGCTTTAACCTTCTTTCTAAAATCAAATATGTTTATATTTGGTTTCTCATTCACTGCCGTTCTACCATGATTATCATTTATCACTTCTATGGCATAAGTTATTGCACTTGTTCATTCAATTCTGCTGTTTTGTTATTAATGTATTGGTAAGAAGAGTTATTTGTATTTGGAGTAAAATCCTCTGCCTGGATGCTATAAGTAAGATATGGTGAATCCTACACGTTTCACTGATGACCAGGGAAAATTGTTACATCAGTGTTACAATCTTTCTAGCTCCCTGGGTGAATGATTGATTGTCTCGAAGCTTCTAATATTGGCCGTTTGATATTTTTAGCAAATGATGTCATGTGTAATGTTTTACATACATTTGGAAGGTTTTCTAACTAAAGCACCGAAGCCGTTCATTGATTCCATCCCATATGTAACCCTTTTCTGTTATTAGAATTTTTTTTCCGTTATAGCTTATATAGTAGGGAGTTCATTTTCCTTGTTGATATGTCTTGCGTGTTTCAGGTTGAAGCTGCATATGACATGCTGCTTATGCAAAGCTTAACTCGGCGGCGAGCTGGGAAAGTTGAGAACAGTCGCATCCGATATGCTGATGCTAAACCAATAAATTCTCCTGGCTTGGGTTCATCATCTCAGTGGCTGCGGAATATGCCTATTACTATTGAAGCCCCATCTACTCGTGACTTGGGCATACAAGCTGGTGTATATGGGGCACTAGCAGCCTTGACTTATGTAAATGGAGCTTCTTCATCTTCTTCACTGCCTTATGCAGGTGCTGATGTTCCTGGACTGATCTTGGCAGGTAGCTTTGGAGCTTCCCTGTACTTCATGACCAAAAAGAACGTAAAATTAGGTAAGGAGTTTGACGAAGAGGCTTATAATACTTTGTTTATAGTATTGCAATATTTTGATTCTCATGAACTAGAGAATTCAGCATAGATATTCATTATGTTTAGTATTCTTGTGAAGTCCAAGGATTGGCTGAAGAATTGTATTATATAGCCATGGAGTTATATATTGCCAACGAAAATCGTGGATAAAAAATAGTGAATGTAACTTGATTAGCTTTAACCATAATTTGAAAGATAAAAGGTTGTGAATGTAACTTGATTAGCTTTAACCATAATTTGAAAGATAAAAGGATCTTTTAGATTTATTGCTATGTTGAAATCTGAGTTACCATGTTTCTATCGATTGACTAATTGGTTAATGAAAACGTGTTCATTTATCAGTTTAACCTTCTGAACAATGAACTGAATTTGTTTTCTTGATTGTGTGAAAGTTTCTTATAGGGCTTATCTAATGATTCTGTTATTAGTTCTGTAGTCTACTTTTAAATTTTTTAAGAACAATGTTAATTGGAGCCCAAGTTTTCAGAATTTCACAAGTTGGAACTCTTATTCTTAGAAGAACATATTTGATGCTGATTTTTTTTCCCTCTTTGCAGGAAAGGCAACGGTGATAACACTAGGTGGCCTTGTGGCTGGTGCAGTAGTGGGGTCTGCAGTTGAGAGTTGGTTGCAGGTTGACGTTGTTCCTTTCCTTGGTGTACACTCCCCTGCTACTGTCGTAAGTGAATTTGTACTTATTTCCCAATTCTTGGTCTCTTTATACCTTAGATAGAGTTGACAGAATCTTGTAGGTTTCCCCTTCATTGTAAAAGTTGTAATTATTCAATTGCTCTTTCCCATGTTATTTCTTTGAAGTTATGTGCTTTTGGATTCAAAAAAGCTCAATAGATTGTTGGGAATGACTTGTGTTTATAGTGAAGAATGTAATAATCATCATATGTTCCCCTTGCTTGATGTGAGTGTTCATAATGCTCTTTATCCATCCGCATCCATTTGTCCCGATTTCTTTACATACTTTTCATCTGCTCATATTCATAACTTCTAGATTTTATAGGCTCAGACATGTCTCTACTGTAAGGCCCAGGGTGATTCATTTGGTTCAATATGGAGTTTGATGATTACTGACAGTAAAGAAAAAATGGACAGAAGATCGTGAAATTCGTTCATGCTAACCCTGTTCTTCTTCCAGGTTCCTCCTCAAGTTCTTTTCATTGAAATCACATGGGATATGGGTTGGGACTGTTTAGAGTCATATTTTGTTGCTCTTAAGCTATTTGTGAAGAATGGTCCACCACCCCAAGTGCCCTCCTGTAGTCATTCGGTGTCAGGTGGGGTGGTGACAATGGGCCAATGGCTTCTTTAGATCCTTCTGCTCAGCTCTTTCTGCTTTGCAGAATGGCTTTGCAAGATACTTCAGCTCTCTTAGCTTGTAGGACATTACAGGGGATAGTTCTGAAAGACAGTCTACAAAAAGTAGGGAGAAAAAGAGGAGAAACTTTAAGCTTTGACAACCACGTGAATATCATTTGTTTTTTTAACTAGTTTCTGACTCTGTTTTCACATGCCCCACACCATAAAAACGGAATCAAAACGCATACATAAAAGACAAAGCTTTGCAATGCAGAAAGGCAATAAATTAGGCCTCTTCCTGCAAGAGGCAATAAGTTCAGATATACATTTCTTGGGCCTCTTGCCAATAATGTAGAAAAGGCAATAAATTGGCCTTCTGCTACAAAATTGTGAGCATGAAAAGCCTCTCTACCAGAAATCTTAACAATTTTCTAGGAGGAGATGCTAGATTAAAACTACAAACCAATGTCTCAGCGAGCTGCTTCGACATGATATAATTTACAGAACTCCAAGAAAAACCAACCATTTTCTGGTTTTTCTTTCATTATCTGCTTACATTTTCTTCAGTTTGGGAGGAACCCTCGATATAGTTAATGTTCTTAGATTTATTGGCATTCTCACTGTAATTCACTAGGTGGTCGTACATTTTTTGCGAAGCCTTGGAGAACTCTGATAAGGAATCAAAAACTGAGGAAAACCCTGTTTGTATTCCATTTAATGTAATCCTCTGTGCTTCTTGAATGCAGTTATTGTGTTTTTCCTTCTCCAAATCAAGCTTCTTCCTGAACATGTCTAGCTGATCTTTCTTTTCTGTCAAGTACTCATTCTGATTTTCCACTTCCGACTCGGATTTCAGCTCGGTAGAGTTGAACTCGAAGAACTTGTTCTCTGTTTTCTGGAAGGACAGTATCCGTCGGTCGAGTTCCTTTGCCAAGCTTTCAACTCTTCTCTTTTGCTGCAGCTCCTCCATCTGTTTATCTGATAGAGCCTTCATATCCTTTGTAAAGCTTTTCAATGCAAAGGCTACTGGTTTATCTGGTAATTTTTCCATGGATGATAGCCAATCACGGCAGATTGAAAGCAATGGAGGTCCATGCAGCCCATAAGGCACAGTGGAAGTCCGACCCCGAGAACAGAACTCATCCTCAGGCACTACAAACTTGGTCAGCCATCCATGGAGAGCTTCAACATAAGCCTTCTGTGATTCAACATATTTTGAAAAACACGAACGCCAATTCTGAAGCTCAGCTCCAAGCTGAAGAGTTGCAAGACGGTGAGATTCGTTACAGAACTTCAGATAGGAATGGCAGGAATAAGTCTTCACTTCAAGGATAATCTTTTTCTGGGTTTCATGAACTTCCAACATGATTTTCCAAGTTCTTGTTAAGCTGCAAAACGATTTGGGAAGAAAAACAAGTGACAAACTGACAACGGATACATTATTTACTTCAGAAATACGGGTATCTTCCACTGTTTACCCTTTTAATAGCTCTACGATCTGAGGTTGTAGCTCGTCATCTCTTAGATTCACAATTCTTGTCGAGATTGATTCAGCACTTCGAATGGCGACCAAGATCCTGGCGTATAAATCTTTAACCATAACCCGAGTTTTATCAGTTGTCATTCCATTGCTCCCTTTAACGTCCTGGCTTCTTAGTCGTGAACACCTTTTTTCATACAGTTTGTGCATGCTGTCCCCAGCCTGGGTGCAAGAATCAGAAAGTTGTTTAAGTCACAATTTACCAACACTAGTCAAGAAGGATCAAAGCTTTATTCTGTTTACATCCCTAAAGAACATAATGAGTCGCAGCAACCGACACGAGAACTAATCAGGTTCTGTTATCAAATGATATGTTATAACATGTTTGATAGACTAGCCCTATCAAACTATGATGTGTTTCCTTATTATACTGATCTTTCAACAAAAGAAACAGAAACAGCTTGAGGATCCTACTTCACCTTGACCTCTTCATAGAGTTTCTTCTCCCAAGCATATAACCGACCAAGAGTCGACGAATGGCTTCCCGAGTCCATTATGTCATAATCATCAAACAGCTCATTACTGAACTCCGTCCATGGCGAAGAACCTTTCGAACTAGATGCTACTAGACTCTTACATGATGAAGTCTTGCCCGAAACAGACCGGTGCCAAGTTATCGCTTGGATGAGTTTTGTCGAGTTCTCTGCAGTATGATGAGCTTGTTACTTCAATGACAATATAGCTTGCAAGAAACAAACTAGAGAGCTTAAAGAATGAAGCTATATGAATGGCACACCTTTTATTTCTTCTAAACCAGATTGAAGCTGAATTTTGTTGGCCTCTAACATCCTAGAAACATCAATTCCAGAATCATAAGCCCTAATGAAATAATCCTCAACATCCTGCAATGCTTCCAAAAGTTCCCTTCCTTCCACAGGTGTATCAATGACTTTCAGCCCCTTCTTCAACTGATTCTCTTCTTCCTTCTCTCCAACATCCTCAACCCTCTGGTTTTTCTCTACTGTCTCTTCCTCCAGCTCTGGAATGCCTTCTTCCTCCTCCGAGCTCTGGCGATACCCGGCGACGACATCGGTCCTCATGGTATCAAATGGATTGAAAAAATCCCAACTAAACTCCCTCTGAGGGGATGGCATTGGGGGTGGCATTTGCATATAGAAATATGCAGGGACCTGTTCAATCCTCTCCTCCTCTACTGGTTCTTCTTCTCTTTCTTCCATGGAGGACTCTGTGGAGGTTGAAGAAGAACAACAAGCACATGAAGGGCAGGCGGGTATGGCTTCATGGGTGGAATCTGAAGGCCTTTGCTGAAGAAACATTGGATTGGGTATCACTTTTTCTGAAGGGGGAGGAGAAGAAGAAGAACATGGAGGAGGGAATGTGATGAGGAAAGGGGAAGGAGAAGAATGGCGAGCTACAAAGAACTTAATGGCGGCTGAAACAGCATTTAAAGCTTGACAATATTTACTATGTGCCTCTGCAAGTGCATACCTTCTCTCAACAGCTAACTTTATGTGGCGTTTTCTTTCTCTACAGATGGAGACTACTTCTTCTTCTTCCTCCAACTTTGAGGCAACACAACCCATTTCCCTGTTGGCCAAAGCCGCAGCAGCAGCAGGTTCTTCTTCTTCTTCTTCCTTTATTCAAATGCCTGAAATGGAAAAAGATAGTTTATTTTTCTCCCTCTTGTATTATTCTATAGTGATATAAAATAGGAAGAAGTTAGATTGTTTTCACTTGGGTTCAGAAAAAGCAAAAATGCAGCCTTTTTGAGAAAAATCCCACCGACCCATTTCATCTTCTAGCAAGTAAAACAATGGGATTGCTTCAGATAAAAGAAAATCCGGCTTTTCAAGAAGGTTCTTGATTGCTTGCTTGCTTGCTCACTCTTTCTGATAAGTAGAAAAAGGCAGACGTTTGAAAGGAAGTGCTTGAAGGAAGCAATATCCTCCTCTCCACCTAGAATCCTCTGTTTTCTGTAACAAAAAATGAAAAACTCTGGTTTAGCAGTTTCTTGGACACATGAGGGATTTGCAAGAAAACCCTTGTCCTTTTAGGCTAAGAAGAAGGTAGGGGCACGAGAAAGAGAGGAGAGTGTTATGTAAAACAGTTCGAAATAGGAAGAAGCTCAGAAGTTGTTTACCTGGTTTTACACAGTTTACTTTATTGCCAATATCTCTGCATTGATTAATGGGTTGAATCTGTTTCCCTCTCTCTCTCTCTCTCTCTAAAAAGATGAGTCAAACTTGGTAAAAAGTGACCAAAAACACAGAGAGACAGAGAGACAGAGAGACAGATTTGTTGTTTTGTATGTGCTGGTTATGTTTTTTTGTTGTATTTGGAAGAGGGTATAATGATGTTTTTTTCTTGCAACTCAAATACGCCATTACAGAATAAGCTTTAGGGTTTTAGTTTGGAGAATACAGAAACTCACGACTGTCACTGTCTTTTGTAGCTCAAGAGACTATCTCTTGTCTCCTTGGAAAAGATGGTTCCTCTGTTCTTTCTCTCATTTTAAGTTCAAAATGTTGGAAGAATAATCTAAATTCTTTTTATTCCATTTTAAATTAGGTCGGTAAACTATGATCGTTGTATTTATTTGTCTTACGATCTCCTTGTCTCATATGCACTATGTCTACAAAGTCTATATGTCATTTGTAACCATCAAAATTTATCGCTAGCAGATATTATTCTTTTTAGATTTTTTTTTAAGATTTTTAAAATGTGTTTTATTGTGAGAGGTTTCCACCCCTTAATATTTCATTTTTTACCCATCTGATATGGGATTTCACACTAATTAATAAATAAACCACCCGTGCCTTTAGTACTTTTAGATTTTGGCTTTAATGAGTTTCAGCCAATAGCACCATTGTTTATATCATCAATAAGGTACGTTCGTTGAACCAATGAGCAGGCTATGATGTTACGTGAAAAATATATGAAATCTAAAGAAAGTTCATAAACGTTCAAGATAAAACTAGATAAGATCTCTACTTTTAGTTATTTGTTCCTTAAAGTTTATTTACTTAATGCCTAAGTTCTTCTCACTCTAAAGCCTCAATAATAAACCAAATTTTTTAAAAAATTAACATTCAAAATGACTCAACTTATCAAAAATGATAGCTACATGATCTCAAATTTTTAGGTTTTTTTTCTAAATTTTGCCCCTCATTGATCAAGCTTCTTTGCTCGTGAAAATGGTAGTTTTATATATATATATATATATATATATATATATCATATTTGATAATTTATTATAAGACAAATATTTAGATATTTGTCTTTCAATTATTGTAATTTATCCATTAATCCAAATTCAAGATGAAGAAGCAAAGAAAGAGCACACAAATCCAATGCAAACCCAACATGGAGAGTGGGGAGTGGGTGGGTGCACTGAGAAATGTGCCATTTTACTTGAAACAAGACAAGACAACCATTCTTACCCTACTTTGTTACCTAGGGACCTTCAATTTTCCTGTTTGGATTACTGTGTTTATGCCCTCACTGACACTCTGACACTTACTCAGATTAAAGCTTCCTACTATATTATCTAATCCACCCCCATACCACCTACATGGATCAATCCCTTCGTCAAATGGATTCTAAACAACTACTCAATAGGCAAATATAAGGAATATACCTTCCTAAGCGTCCATGTTCGTTGTTGTGAGATCCCACATCGATTGGAGAGAAGAACGAAACATTCTTTATAATGATGTAGAAATCTCCCCTAGTAAACGCATTTTAAAAACCTTAGAGGGAAGCCTGAAAGAAAAAGTCAAAAAAGAACCATATTTGCTAGTGACAAAACATTCTTTATAAGAGGGTATAAATCTACTCCTAATAGACAAGTTTTAAAAACTTTGAAAGGAAGCCCGAAATGAAAAGTCCAAAAAGAACAATATAAGCTAACGACGGATTTGATAATTTTATACGAATGTAACGAATGACAGATAGGAAGTTCAACTGAGTCATGATACATACAATTTACAAGAGCTAAGCAGTGAGCAAAATGGGTAAAGAAAAAATCTTGGGAAGGAATTAGCTACAATTACAGGCGACTTGAAGCTGTCTACTTCAGTTGCTTTGGTTTTTGAGTTAACAGTTACAGTGTTGTAAGGTAAAAGGATTGATGCCTGGCTCCACTTTATCTCTGTTGAAAGCTACCTGGTATTCACATATGATAACAATACAACAGACAAACATGAGATGATTATGGCCTAATCAGGCCATGCCAGGGGCCAATGAGTTCGGATGCAAGTTAACTCCGCCCCCTCGCATGGATAGGCTTGCACATTTTGTAGAGCTAGCCCGGCTCACAAGATTCGAGTCGAGAAACACAACAATCACTGTGATGTCATCGTGGAAATGTCGTCGTACGCCACGGTCAATCTTCTTCAAATCGGAGTACCTCATTTCTCTCTTCTTTGCTGCCTCTTGCAGTGCTGCTTTCACTAACCTCCTTGCACTTCCCTGCAATGAGATTGTTCAAATGAAAGTTGAGTTTCTTTTACATCTTCTTCTTTGAGTTTAGCTGGGAGAGAATTCTTACATTGCGTGGATGGTTTTGGACAATATCAACAGCTTCCTGATTGCTAAGGTGTTCCCAAAGCCCATCTGAAGCAAATATAATAAATTGATCTTGTGGTTGCAATTGGAGCACTGAAATAGATGGTTCGGCGTTCAGTATGGGCGTTTTGATAGGTTCACGAAGGCGAAATTTAGCATATAGAGGCTCTTGGTTGAACTCAGCTCTCTTTAAATAGACATCGCCGATGGATCGAGAAACCTAAAACGAAAATTGTTATACATAGTTAAAAACATAATTCAGCCACATGAAAGGACAAACTGTGAGATCCCACATCAGTTGAGGAGAAGAACGAAACATTCTTTACAAGGGTGTGGAAACTTCTCCCTAGCAAACGCGTTTTAGAAACCTTGAGGGGAAGCCCGGAAGGGAGAGCCCAAAGAGGACAATATTTGCTAGTGGTGGGCTTGGGCTGAAGGTATCAGAGCCAGACAGTGGGACCCCAAGGGGGGTGGATTGTGAAAGCTCACATTGGTTGGAGAGGAGAACGAAACTTCCTTTATAAGGGTGTGGAAACCTCTCCCTAGTATATGCGTTTTAGATACCTTGAGGGGAACCTCGAAAGGGAAAACTCAAAGAGCAATATCTACTAGCGTGGGCTTGGGTCGTTACACAAACTATGAGTATAATCAATATTAATGCGTTAAATAACTTACCTGTATAAGGCCCTTCACACGCCATACATTATGCTTCAAGACTACAATATGTGGATCATCAGGGTGCAGGGCTCGGAGCTCCTGCCTCACAGACTCTATAGATGCATTATGCTCAGCAGACAACTGGACAGACAAAACTTCCCCTGTTGCCTTCACAACTCTCCCTAAAACAGCTCGTGAATCACCAAGGTTAGCTATGTAAAGAGTTCCACCACAAATTACACCTACAAGGCAGCAAGATCCAACAGCTGCAATTAGTGGCCTCATTGACCATTGTTTTGTAACTTGAGCAATGACCCCGTCTTCGGTAGCTTGAAACGCCTTTCGTATGACATCCACCGACATGGACTGTTGCTCGGAAGTAAACCCTACAAATTGGGGAACAATCATTAGGAGTCTCGAGCATATTCTAGTTTCCAAGTTTTATGGACAACAACTACAAGTAAGCCTGAGTTATGAAATAACAGACACTAGACAAAACTTCAGCTCAAATATCATATGAAACGAACCCTCCAAATATAGAAGTGAAAAAGGAAAAGGTATATTCAAATCTTAACTTGATCGATCAAGTCAGCCCGTAACCGCCCAAGCCCCACCGCTAACAGATATTGTCTTCTTTGAGCTTTCCCTTCCAGGCTTCCTCACAAGATTTTTAAAACACGTTTGCTAGGGAGAGGTTTTCACACCCTTCTAAAGAATGTTTCGTTTTCCTCCCCAACCGATGTGGGATCTCACAATCCATCCCCCTTCAGAGGCCAGCGTCTTCGCTGACACATCGCCTGGTGTCTGGCTATACCATTTGTAACAACAAAAGCCAACCACAACAAATATTGTCCTCTTTGGGTTTTCCCTTCTGGTCTTCCCCTCAAGGTTTTTAAAATGCGTTTGCTCGAGAGGGGTTTCCACATCCTTGTAAAGAATGTTTCATTCTCCTCCCCAACCGATGTGTGGGATCTCACAATTCACCCCCCTTCGGGACTCAGCGCCCTCGCTGACACATCACCCGATGTTTGGCTCTGATACTATTTATAACAGCCTAAGCCTTCCACTAGGAGATATTGTCCTCTTTGGGTTTCCCCTTCCGGACTTCCCCTCAAGGTTTTTAAAACGCGTATGCTATGGAGAGGTTTCCACACTCTTATAAAGAATGTTTCGTTCTCCTCCCCAACCGATGTGTGGGATCTCACATCCAACTTATACGACATGGG